ACTCAATTCTTAGCTTTTCCTTAATAAGTGCTTTAAACAATTAATCCTTCAATGACAAAATGACTGATCGTTCTCTTTCTTATCATCCAACCGTGCCGTTCCGCTATAACTCGGTCCACCGTTGCGTTATTGCCGGTGCCCGGCCGATCGGCCCCGCCTGTAGACACCACAGTCTGCCGGGCTCGTCAGGGCGCTCTGTTTGATCCCAGCAGCTGGCGGTGATGCGGGGTCACGTCCCGGCATCCAAACAGGTGCCTGGTGCACTGTCACGACTCGCCGAGCCCGCCGTGACCTCAGAGACGAGGGCGCAGTGACGTTTTATGGCACCGGCAATCAGCGCGGCAGTAAAGCTGAATTGTCATCATCGCCGAGATTTGGATGATACGCTGTGGACGTGACGCACGCTTGGGGTAGATGATGTCTGTGGTGGGGTAGGGCGAGTTATATAGCCGGTAGATTGGGACGGAGCTCGGATGAGAGGCGCGGAGTGATGCTTGTTGTCGGAGACAGGCGGAGACAAACGAATTGTGTTGTTGGTGATGATGGGATGGATGTTTTCCAATAGCGGCAATAGCAGCAAGCCGCGGGTCGCCGGCGCGGCACGATAAAGTGCAGAGGTCAGCTTCATGGCCAGGCCACGATCTGAGATGATTTGAGACGTGTACTGCAGTGACGGACCAGGCTGCAGTGTGCTTTTTTTTAAGCAGCTAAAATGTTATTCCGTTGTTCAACCCTGGGAATTCGTGGAGTAAACTTGGAGCTTGTTCATCTGGACATGAGCACTATCGGGACTGGAGATCTGCAACTGTTCGTCACAGTCGTGTGACGTGACTGGATACATCGCTGCTGATTTCATGCAATTCCGTATTGATTAGCTGATGTTGACAATTGACATTAGCGGGAGTCTGGGGCATTCCGGGTGCCAGGGTGCCTCCCCGTGCAACCCCGGGGTATCCGGAAAACGCCAGGCGAGCCGCCGGGTTTGGCCTGTCATTCGCCAAACGATTCGAATGGTAAATGCGGATCGTGTATTTGGCTCTTGTATTGGACCATTTGCTTGCAATCACCGTTGTATTGCTATACTCGTACATTTTAAAATGCTAGGTCTCTGATGCTTTTTTGCGTCTTTTGTTTCATTATATTTGGATAATATGAAGAGTACTTCCGCGGTGTTAGCTATCCATATAAGTAAATGGTGTCATATTTCAACACACCAAACTTGGCTCCCGTCCTTGTTTTAGGATCTAAATTCAGTCCGCACGCTGGCCTTCAGTCTCTCCTCGTACTGTCACCTCTGATGGTCCTTTAATGACCCGACCCCGGAGGTGGGCTGCCGGTAGTCCAAGGTCTGTGGGTGGCCGCGCATATTTCGTCCTCCGGATGCCTGAATATCATTGTCCACATCTCGGGCGAGTGTGGTGAATTCCGAATTCCGACTCTGGCTGGAATTTCTCTCCTTGTTCTGTTAGACCCTGGCTTATCTCTTGGTTAGATCCCCGGTTGGACTCCCTTGTACCCCGGTCTTCTATGCTCGGTGTCGAGTACTGTCGGTTCGGTTCCCGTGTGGCCCACAGCCACTGACGGACCGTTGAGCAGGCTGTCGCCGCCACTGACGGACCACTGAGCAGGCTGTCGCCGCCACTGACGCTGCCTGTCCGTCACGCTGACGTTCGCCCGCTGCTGGCGCAGACCCCGGCCGCAGCGGGGTCGCCGTGTGCGTGCGCGCGTCAGGGCTCACTGGTGATTACCGCCCGTCTAAATCGGTCCATCTGGATCCGTGCCGACGACTGGCCCTCGTCGGCAGAAGTGAGCCACCAGGAAGGAAGGAAGCACGCGCTTGTCTCGCCAAACGCGGCGCGCTGGGGTCGCGGCTGGCGCGGGCGGCTCAAATCTGGCGCGGCGCGCCGATATCTGGCGCGGCGATCGGCGTTCGGCCCATAGCTGGCGTGTCGGACGGCCTCTGGTGACCTTTACCCAGATGGAACGGCACACTTCGGGGTCACATGCGCCGGTCCGCCCGCCCGACTGTCTGTCGATCCGGCGTTATTGACGTGCCGACGGGAAGGCTGAATGAAGGATCTCTGAATGACGGCGATAGTATGTATATGTACTGCTTCCTTATCACTGTCGAATGGTTGTCGATCTCACAGAGAATATTCTAAGCCTGTAGCATCCCGTTCAATTTAATGAAACTTCTCAGATTTATTTTCAGTATGACTTCTGGGTACGGACTCAGGGCTAGAGGTCAACAGACCATAACACTACACAAATTAGAATGGACCTTAGCACTTGTCCGGCTAGACAACCTCTCCATAAGCCTTCCAGGTAAGTGCGTGCAGCTTTTGTTCGATCTGGAGCTACCCAATGTTTGACGTCCCCCATACCATTATGTTGTGTGTCTTTCTTTTGTCTTTCGTCACTGTGCCCCCATCATCCATCCGTGTAAGTGTGTGTGTTAACGTTGCTGATCACACCGGTCCTCGCCGTGCCGCCACTGCTGGTGCCTCGTCTGGGAGCAGTGTGTGGACCTGCTGATGTGCTGGGCCGGCCGGCTGACCCAGCACCAGCACCAGCAGCAGCAGCAAGGGAGGTCCGCTTCAGCGGCTGGTGCCGCCTCTGCGGCTGGCCCCGTCTTCAGCTCTCTCCCGGTCGTGCTGCCGTCGACTATCCGCACCCCGGCCCTGGCCCCAGCGCCGGCCGTAGCTCCGGCTCCGGCTCCGGCTCCGGCCCTGACTCCGGCTCCGGTGAGATTGCTGGTCGCTCCGCAGCTCCGATGTCGCCTCTGGCAGTGCTGGCTGGTGTCGCTGGCATCCCGATCATCCGCCTGCCGCTGCTGTGTTTTGCGTTTTGGAGCTGGATCCCCTGGACATCCCATGGACTCCTGCTGCCCAGCTGAGCATTCTGAAGGCTGTATTTTATGGTGTAAATCCGCTTGGGAAAAAACGACGGCTGCTCCGGTTTGGTTTTGGTTATCAAAGTGTTTCATATTGGTTTTGGGAAAGTTTGTTGGGTCTATTAGTTTTCATTTTGTAGATTTGATCCAGCTGCTGCGATTTGTAGAAGCTGCAATTGCTACTGGCATGTCCTTGTTGTTTGTAAGTAGCTGAACATACTTATTTGTGGGTTTATTTTTGGCTTTATTGCTGTTCAGCTATGTCGTTTAACTTTAAGCAGTTTCGCTGACAGCGATCTTGGTGAACACTGCAAGAGATCTCGTAAACCTACATTGGATAGTGAATGACTCCGTCTTGCGCATGTGTGGGACACAGCTCGATTTGTTTTGTGGTTTCTAAATGGGAACACTCATGGTTCAGGCTATTTGCAGATAACATTTTACAGTCGCTCTTTGTTGCGCGCGGTTGTTGACTCAGTTAAGGGTGGTCGTAATTTTATAATACTGGTGTCTGGTCTCCGACGAGCTGAATGGTTAATCGGGTACGGCCTCATGGCATTGGTGAATGGAGGCTGTTTGGCTGAATAGATGGTCTCGGGTGGAGCTGGGTGGTAAAGGGCGTCCTGCACTGGACTCGGTGATCTGTTGCTGGGTGGCCTGCGGGGAGGGGCTGAAGCTGCTGAGAGGGGCTGGACAGACTAATTCAGGGCGGACCTCTGGTCAGTGCAGAGTAAGCGGGCGATTTTTCGACATGTGAGCTGCTGAACCCCTTAGATCCGGTGAGTGTCCTTGTAGGAGCGATGGCGTAAGGTCGAGTTTGTTGGGTGTAGGATCGACTAACCGACCCTTGGGGTCGGTTACTGGACCAGGTGTCGGTCCGTTTAGGGGGAGGGGGATAGAGTCGCGGCGTCGGTCCGACTCCGCCCACCTACCGTCTCTCTTCCTGACCGTCCCCGCTCGCCCCTTGTGCGGCCCACTCGCGTGCAGCAGCCGCCACCACCACTCTCCATTCTGACAGATCAGAATCGCACGAATAGAGAGCGTGTTTTGTATTTGCATGCGGGTGTCTAATTGATGCAGAGGGCCGGGCCGGGTCGGCAGCGCGTGGGCAGCAGCACCATTCAGTTGTCCGTCGGACCGCCGCCGCACCATCGCAGCAGCCGCCGGGTCCGCGCGCAGATCCCGTATTAATTATGCAGCAAAAGGCGCTGGCCGGCCGGGCTGGGAGGGTGTGGGCGGCAGGGGTAATGGGCTGCCTGGCTGTGTCATGGGCTGGCATCGTCACGCTGAAGTATGCGGGGGAGGGGCGGCCGGAGCGGGAGGCTCGGGTGCCGAGACGGCAGAGGTCGACGGAGGATGAGACTCCGGCACCCGAGTGGATTGAGCCCCGCACAGGCGTCGGGCGTGATTGATTATGCATAGGGCGGATGTTTGGATGAGTTGAGTGCTCTTAAAAACGGGCCGCGATCAGCGATCATCTCATATATGGTGAGCGATGACTGGCAGGTGGCGCTACAATGGCTGGCTGATTACTTCCCCCATGGTCCAGGCCGGCAGCGTTGGCAGTGTGAAATGGGCCCGGAAGATGGATTGTTCATAGCGCCAACCGGCCGCCCCCGATGGAGCTGTATTATACGGGGTTGTATAAATAAACGGCTGCACAATGAGCAGGGGTTTGTTTTCTTTTGTGCGCGGTGACATGCTTTGTTATCAGTGTTATTGTTGATAGTTGCTTTCTTTATTTTTGTTTTGAATCGGGTCTTTTTACCGTGTTTGATGCATTGTTCATAAAGTTTTTGCTTTAAACTTGCATTATGCAACTCGCTTTGTGATCATTAGTCAATATGCCGCTGGCTGCCACATTCCATTATTTGACTACCGTTCAGGTACAAATGAATGCTCATGACTGTCTTGTGTTTCATTTCATTGTGCTCGTATGAACATTTTGTATATGATATATCAGTGTAAAAATTCGCCATGTATGGTCACGTGGGCACACCCCCGCCCTGTGTAGCCCCAATCTCCATGCACACACCGCTTTCCCACCCGGCTATGTCTTGCTATCTGACTGCTTACTGACTATACCGTGTGTGTGTGTTTTCTCCAGGCGAAAACTGAGGACCAGCTGGCCTCTGAGAAGGCTTGGCTGGACGCCGAACAAGTGTGGCTGGTCCACAAGGATGGATTCTCAGCCGCTCGTCTGCTGCGGACCCCGGCCGGCGCGGGGGCGGAGACGGACCCGCCGGCGTCCGGCCGGGTCCGGATCCGCCTCCAGGATACCGGGGAAACCATCGAGGTCGACGAGGATGATATCGAAAAGGTAGGCGACGGCGACGGAGGGCGTGGGCTCTCGAATCTGGATAGCCGACTGGTTAGGGCGCTGAATGCTAGAAAAGGATGGCAAAAGGGTGGCATGTATTCAGCGCCCATAATATGACTCAAGATGCCACTCTATTTTATAGCTGACAAGTTGGTCTCACATCATGCGACTTATTCACGCCGAGAAACTTCTGGAGATCAGCAAATAATGGCTCGTACATTGGTTTAAAAAGCGCTATCATTAGCATGCCGAACAGGACACCCCCGAAAAGTGGAAGTGCAAAAAGTGGTTTGTTTGGACTGCATCTTATTCACCGCTGTAACTCTCGGACTTCTTTGTGCATTACGTCTCGTATTGATATGCCTCATTATGATGCACAATGCGCACAATGGGTAGCCTGTTTACCATTTGTCACCATCCCGGCTGCTTTGTGTTTGTGCAGTCATCGACACACTGTCTATGGGTGTATTATGATGATCGAATGAGTAAATACTACAGAGGTGCATCGTTCCGGCACTGTTGCTAGCCGGTCGTTCCCAGACGGACACTGTGTCGGTCCAGTTACTGTGCCATGTCGCACTGCTGTTTCTGACTAATTTTCTTCATTTTACCATCCTGCTGTATTGTGCACGTTTGCAGTAGAAACAAAACCATCCATGTCGTCATTGTAACAGAGGACCTCAAACGAAAGCAACAAGCTTGTCTTTGTTTAGTCCTGGGAGAGTAGTTTCAGGAGTGTAGTTGGAGATTCAAGCCGACAAGCATTCTTGTTATGTGCTGGTCTCTAAGCCTAGAGCTCAGTACCGCGGAGGAGACAAGCTCCGTTATCAACCAATATTCCCACAACACTTTTCATTCGACTCCTTGATGATTGCACGTCGATTGCAGGCATTTTTAACGTAATTCATTGATATCTACATCCGTGTTAGCTGAAATATTGGCACAGTTTTGTCTCTGTATCCATCAGTATTGTGTCGTGATATTTTGGGAATTGATGTATTCTTGCTTTCCCAGCATAGATAACATTTCAATATCCGCCTGTATTTCCGTATAATTACGTCAGTATGACCACTGATCACCTATCATCTTCCGATTTTCATTTCTATATGACGCTTTTGTTTGTAATCATGTTTAGCTTGTGTAATAGACGAATATTGCACAACGCACTTTTCCTGTCGATCGGGTATCTTCTGTCATTAGGTCTCTTGAATTTCACGTCTCCGAACCTGAAGAACACCGGTGACATTCCTTCGACAGCCCTCTGACGCGGCCCACCCAGGCTGCCTCGACTGCAGTGGCGTCTGACTCCCTCCCTCTTCTCGACAGGCCAACCCCCACCGTAGTCAGACCCTCCCCTTTCCGACAGGCCAACTCGCCTCAGTCAGACCCTCCCCTTTCCGACAGGCCAACTCGCCTCAGTCAGACCCTCCCCTTTCCGACAGGCCAACTCGCCTCAGTCTGACCCTCCCCTTTCCGACAGGCCAACTCGCCTCAGTCTGACCCTCCCCTTTCCGACAGGCCAACTCGCCTCAGTCTGACCCTCCCCTTTCCGACAGGCCAACTCGCCTCAGTCTGACCCTCCCTCCCTCTCGACAGGCCAACCCCCGCCGTAGTTTGACCCTCCCCTCACTCCGACAGGCCAACCCGCCGCAGTTTGACCAGTGCGAAGAACTCTCCCAGCTGCGACACCTCAACGAGTCCTCCGTACTGCACACGCTACGGCAGCGCTACGGCGGCAACCTGATCCACACGGCGGCCGGGGCCAGCACCGTCGTCATCAACCCCATGTCCAGCCTGGCCATCTACTCGGACAAGGTCAGTCGCCGCGGGGTGGGGAGAACGGGGGATGACGATGCTGGGAGCGGTAGGGGTGGGATTGGATGATCGGGGTCGAATGTCTAAGAGGTGTGATAGCATGAGCGACGGTCGTGCTTGAGGGCAAAGAGCTTCTCACGCGTGACGTTCAAATAACAAGTTCTTTTTCTTCCACACAAAAATGTTCAGTGTTTAGCGTAACCGAGCAAATTCGAGATGCCAATGAGTATAGTCTGAAGACCTTGTAGTAAAGGTATCTGCTTGCTACCAACTGCTACATCTCCGCCACAATGATAAAAAAGCCGGCCGTTCTAACCACACAACCACTCAATCCCTGTACCGTCGCGCTGCCATCCCCTCTCAATCACCGAGCGTGCACCTCTCATGGCAGCGCCGTCTCCTCCCTTTCCCATCCCATACCTAGCGGCGCGCCCGTAATACCCCGATTAATTCGCCGATCGCTGTCAATTGGGCTTTCACTACTAAATGTCGGCGCACTGGGCGGAGTAAGGGGAATGCGCTCATAGCGGTGTTGAACCGATATGAAACTCGTGTCTCTGGCGGGCTTATGCGCAATGCCTTCAAGCTGGAACGGACCGAGTCTTGGGCTATAAGAACCGACGTGGTCTCCGGGTTCTGTGTGAGCCGTTTTGGGTGGTTAGCTGTGCCTGGGGCGGGTGGATCGGGTGCTCTATCAGACAGTATGATAGAATTAATTGGGAATGTGGGCGTCTCATAACTGGTGAATATTCTGAAACCGGTGGGTTATAATAGTCGGCGCCTGAGGCATCAGCCAGCTCAGAAGTCACACCCGAACGGGCTCTGTCGGTTCTACTGTCGGAACCAGCTTCCAGCTCCGCCGCTGCCGCCGCTGCAGCCACCACAGCCTATCTCGGTAACATTATCGTTTGAGAAGATGACAGTGTATTTCCATGAATATCCTGGCATCTTCGTGCATGCCCTAGCGTCTCCGATCTCCGTGCAGTTTCAAGATGCCTCGACGGTGTACGGACGCCCCCTCCCCTCTTGCCAACCGCTCTCTCCCGGCGTGACCGTGGCGACCACTGTGATGTCATGTGACATGGACAAATGATCATGTTCGCTGCACGGAGAGCTATGCTGCGACGTAGTACGGACTCTGTAGCCGCCGGCACTGGTGACGGAGCTGGTGCTGGTGCTGCTGATAGTGCTGGTGCTGTTGCTGGTAGCGGTGCCATTGCACCATTGTCGTGTCGCTATGGTCAGCAGCAGCAGATATGCAGGCATCTCACTGCAGCACTGTTGTGCTGTCTTCCGAGCTTCTCGCTGTCTCCGAGAGAAAAGATGAATGTCTGGCTGTAATGTATTGGCTGCCGCGATAGCCATGCGACATGAGTGTCATGCGGTTTGCAGTTGTAGCGGTCTCACGGTCAGTTACCGGCGATGGTGCCCTTTCGTGATAGGGCTGAGATTTGCTGAAAGAGCAGTGAACACGGCAAATGCAAGAGCGGACACACAGCTTTGCTCATTGTTTTCATATTAAAATCCATATGGCATTTCCCTTGCACCATCATTCCAAAATTAGATTTTTTGGTACCGTGCTTGCTGCCTTCTCACTCAGTAATCCAGGAGCTGCTAGTGTCTGCCGTCCCTGCCGAATACCGCCAGCACACGAGCCAACCCGAGTCGGGGTACTCAATATATTCGTCAGGACGCCGCGCTCCGCCAGCTCGACTGTCCCGTCTATCTCTGTTGGTCCCGTTCGACCCATGTTCAGGCGGCATGTGACCCGTGTTTTGACCTCGGGTCTACCCGGTCGGCCGATCTTTAGAGCTGTTCTCTGAGGGCGAACCACAGTAATCCGGTGGCGTTGATCGTGTCGGCGCGTGAGAAGAAAGCCGAGCTATGAGACTAGGTTTACAGCCAGATCCTGTCTGATGACGGCGTTCTTACGGCTCGGACGGTGATGAGGCTGGTGGAAACTGTAGTGGCAAGAGCGAGAGAGAATAGAGAGGGCGGGAGTGGGGAGAGGGAAATGCCGACGGAAAACACGCCAGCAGTTCAGAACAAAGACGGGGTGGGGTGTAAGGGGGCTAAAGGCTATCCCGTGGTATTCAAAGGAGAGACTCCCGTCCCCACCCATGACAAGGGGAAGGAAATGCCATCCCAGTTTGGTTACTAGTGATGACAGGCTGCCGACTTTCTACGTGCATCATAAAATAGGAGAGCATCCCGAACCTCCGATCATATCTGGCTACTGGCTACTGAGATTTATATCGTGCTGTCTGATCGTATGCACTTATCTCCCCCTCCCGTCGATAGATATCGCCGATATCTGACGAGCTATGGACACCACTGGCCGTTCCGCTCCGGTTTCGCCCAGCTACTTTCTGTTTCACTCCCCTCAGTCAGCCTGCAGCACTGTGGCTTCCAGTAACTGTCCACATACCTTACAATATTCTACTGAACCGTTCGTACTTTCCGTTTCGCTCCCTGTCGCCTCGGGGTTGGGCGGCTCCACCCAGCTTCACTGAAGCGGTCCCGACTTTCCACTGTCATCCATTGCTTGTCTCTAGCCACCCTGTGTGGGTTTAGCCGCGACTGTTGCTATCAGTCTGTCTGCCGGTATGCCGGCGTGGAGCGATGGGAAGGGCGGGTCTAGCGATGCGCCCGGCGCCGTGCATACTGAGTGCCTGTCTGGGCCGGGAGCGACACTGGACGGTCCAACGGCGGGCGTTAGGTGCCGCAGGGGACGATTGAACACCGCTCCCCGACGCCACCGTCCTGCCGGGATCGCTGTCCGGCGGACAACGGACAACGGACAACAGATGGCGGACAACGGACAGCGGGCATTAGACACCAGTTATACAGCGGACACCAGACAGCTCGCAACGGACAACAGGCAGCGGCGGATAGAGAGCTAGCTCCCCGGCTAGCGTGGCTGGTGGACAGTGATCCCCGCCCCGGGCGACCCCACTGTCAGCCCCCTGCCGTGCCATGGTCATTGTCCATAACCAGTGTCACGCAGGGAGCTTCAATGGCCAGAGGGGATATACCGACACGTATTCCTGCCGCTGGTATGCAGGCGTGCATGGGATGCCGTCTATGCGATGTTCTTGCACCGGGCTGTGGGTGAGGATACTGCCCCAGGCGGCATTAGGGGCACCAATCTCCTCTGTTGTGATCGCGCTATTCGGTGTAAAGTGGCGGCGTTCATACAGTGTTCGCCCTGCTTCGCTGTCGTCGTAACTGTCAACCACGAAGGAATAAGTTTTGCAGCATTTTAGGGTAGCAAAAATGACATTCCCATTGCCTAATTTGAATGAAGGTCAGAGAGTGTGTTCCAAAATCCCAATCATTAACGTCAACCGAGCAAAAGTCTCATGGGTTGTAATGCTTCCAAACGTCTGGCAGCACCTTTTGTCGACCATGTGGAGGAGAGTGGTGATTGTGGTGTCCAGTGGCCACTTGGAGTGACGTTAGTGACGGTATTGGCTGTCCAGGCACGTGCGTGAAGCTGCTGGGCGACCACAGATGGCCGGCAGGCGGCCAGTCCGCGGCCTTGAGACGCCGATGAAACCGAAAGTTTCTGGTGCGGCGTCGTAAGCAGGGTATTTAGTCGCGTTTTACAATACCAATTATTAATGGGACGGCTGCTCGACTAAATTACGCTGTCTTCTGTAATTACGATGGTAATTGCAGGAAATTGTTCTGAAATTGCCTCAAAACAAGATGCACGATTGTCTAATTTACCAAAACACGAGGAACATTTTCTTAATGGGCTGCTTGTCGTCAATCTGACCACGGCGTCTTTTCACGCCTCGCCCATTGAGCTTCTTCGTGACGACCTTCCGTGTCACTGCTCATGCTGACCCTCTGGTGACCTCTGCCGTCCGTATGAAGCATGCTCGAGGCACGCCAGACTCGCTGTGACCGCTAATGAGCATATCGGACTGCGCGATTGTCTCCGCCGACCGACCGCCGTGTGCTGACGAATGGTCACGGTCCCTCGATGACCTGGGAGTGACCCTGAAGTGACCTCGGTATGACCCTTGGTGACCTCTCCGCCAGGGTCGGTCTCCGGACGCCCTCAGCCCATTGTTTCTGTTCCGCGGGGTGCCATTGCCCGTCCCTCCGACTCTCTGACCGGCCGTCGGCCGTCGCTCTGCCGTGTGTATCCTCCGACTGAGCTATGAATGCTGATGGCCGGCCGTTCGGTGTTGTGTTCGGACTGACAGACGCTCGCTGACGGAATGGATCGGTGCCGCTGACGAGAGCTGAGCAGTCGGTCCTCTCCGGCTCTGCTCTGGGGGGGGGGGGGGAACGGGGAGTGTTTCCTCGCCTGAACACCGTGTATGACAGAAGCCTGACTTGGGCGTTCAGAGGGCAGCGACCGACCGGGCATAGTTTAGCAGTTCGGCCACCGAAAGGTCACTGTCGGCTGCTGTTCTGGGGTCAAGTTTGTCTCAGCGGCTTGTGATGCAAGTCTCACATTGGTCGGACCCTACGAGGAAAGTGTGCTCGGCTGTTAGTTTAGAAGTCAGTTCTGTATCGGCAACATTTCAGGATCATGCCTGCATTCAACTCCGGAGACTGACGCGCAGATCTCACCCTTGTGAAAGCTGCAACTGTCCAAACCGCGCTCTGGCGACAGCTCGGGACAGCCTCTGTGCCCCCGGACCGCTACTGACACGGCTGCCTCCCGCGAACCTGTCCGCTGCATGGAAATATCCCTTTGTCCGGACCGGTGAGACGTCTGCTGCCGGTGTCGCCCCGACAGGAGACAAGGTGGTCAGTTATCGGGTGTCTGTGTCGGGGCCTGCTGACACCCGGTGAAGGTGGTAATGTCGCGCTTTACAGCTAGCGGGATGACCTAGGTTGGAGTTTACGCATGCTCTATTGTACTTGTTTCAATCTTCCTACGCCGGGTTTCCTTCGTACATGTGTGCTGCGGCGACTCCTGTCATGCTGCGTTTGTGTAACGTCCGTGGTCGTCCCGTCTACCCCGCGGCGACTCCCGA